CCGGGAGGTACACCTGGGGCAAACGGGTAACAGACGCAAGGAGACAGACTTCAGTCTGATCTGAGAAAGAACTCAGACGGACCCCAATTCAGTCCACAAAGGAAAGGGCTGGGTGGTCCTCTGCAAAGGAGGATGTCACAGGAGGAATGCTGGGTGGGAGGCTGGCCTAGGATGGCCAGTTACCACCCAAGACTAAATTCTTTGGTTCTGCCAAGTTCACATTAGTGAAAGAAGAAATGGCTAAAAAAGAAAAGTCAGCTCAGATTTAATGAGACTAGTCCCCTCGGAGTGCAGTTTTATTCACTAAATTCATCCTGCGGCTATGTACTCAGTTGGACTAGAAATGAATACTAACAAAATATTTGTTTCCTTCATTCCCCTGTGGTTTCTGTGAGGCTTCAACAATTGATGGCTCTTTGAACATCAAAGGAATTCACCCACTGAAGCTCCAAGTCAGGCCCACTCTGGTATGTTCTTATTTAATACTTGGTCTAAGGATCAGGGTACCGGGCTCCATCTTTCCAGATATCAACTAATTAAAAACAAATATCTTCTAGCTGAATTGATGATGATAATTCCTCCAACCCAGGAACCAATTTTACAATATAACATAATCAGTTAAATATGTAAAGTCAATCTAGTCCGCGAATGGCATTTTTCTGTTTCTAATGTGTCATTCTATCATACCAAGTTATGTCTCCACTCTTTCCAGGGAAAAAGGTCTTTGTTCTGTAGACTCTCTTACCTAAGCGTGACTATTTAGGCAAATACCTGCCCCACAAATGGCCAGACACTGAAAAGGTATAGAGTCCAACATAGCGTGTGATCAAGCAATGCCAACTTGACATTATTCCAGGTCAACAGAGATTGCTTCCTGTATACTGTTCAGGTCAAGGAGAGAATTAGGGGAGGGCAGATTCTCATGTTTGATAGGATAATCTCTGAATAATCCTGAAACCTATTTTGGGAATAAAAGATGTGGTTCTAAAAAGTTGCGGACTTCCCTGGTGATCCAGTGGTTAATAATCTGCCCTGCAATTCAGGGGATGAAGGTTCGATTCCTGGTTGGGGAACTAAGATCCCACATGCCAAATAAAGATCCCGTAAGCCAAATAAAAGGATTATTCAAGTTCTCCCCAAAGCCCAGCTTGTCAGGCTCAAACTAGATGGAGCACATGCAAGCCTCTTGAGTCAGCAAACTTGATCATACCATCATCTAGAATCCTCACTTGTATCAAACACCAGCCGCTGAGGAGAGTCCCTCAAGCCTCAGCTAGAGGAATAACAGCTGACACGTCACCAGCTTGGGTTCTTTCCCTAATTGGCTGCCTGAGTTCCAGCCTATGTTTTAAATTTGTTTTCAGACAGAGATTTTGTTTGGTCACATGAAAATGCCTTAAATAGGCAATGCTATAATTAGCTCTCGCTGGAGTCTCATCTCCCAAAGCTGCTACTCTTCCCTTCTTTTGTCCCGGGACAGGCTTCCTGCTCACATGCCCTTTACAAAGAAAATTTCTCTGGCTGGCTGTCATTGGTGTCTCTGGCCCACTGCCATTTTAAGTAAATTTTCCTCGACTGTTCCAATTTCTTCTGAAACCAAGGCAGATGCCCAAAACTGCTGGCTTATTTCTAAAGAAAGCTTGACCCAGTAGTGGCAAGCTAGTGGGAGGCTCTGTGTAGTTGCAAGGCCTGGGTTCACCGGCCGCCCACTGATAAACCCTCACAGCTGATTCCTATGCAAACCCAAGCACCTCAGACTGGTCCTGTGGGTTATATGGAGCAGCTGCCAGAGCTGGACTTTGTGTCTTTCAATGCCTGTCACCGTGGCAGATAACCCATTTTGAAGGGCAGCCCCCCACCCCCAATTCTCTGTTGCCTTTGATCCTTCTGCAAAACCGCAGCACTACTTTTTCTGGGCGTAGCTAATACCGATAACTACTGCAGCAGGAAGTGGTAAGGGGGTTCGTGAGGCAGGGTGTCTTCCTGCGGCCCAGATATTCACAAGAAGGCAGGTTCTCTCTCTCATGCTTAAACCATTCGCTTGCAGGACTAGCCTGTGCGCCTCCACAGGTAATAAACGAATAAAATGAATCACTCCCAATCTCGCAAAGCTGTATAATTTCACATTCATCAGCTGAAAGAGTTGGTAGAAGTAGTCAGAATCCAAACGAAAAGCCATACACTGAAAGGAAACTTACTCCCTGAGTTAGAGATTGTAGAGCCAGTGTGACTCCAATGGGCTAGGCTCCTTTTGGTTAATCAAAAAAGTTTCAACACTGGAAAGAAAATGATCACTTTCTCCTTGTCTGCCCTTAAAATTTACATTTACTACCAAAAAAAAAAAATAGATTTGGATCCATGTCTGATGTGCCATGAATCATAAAAACACTGACTCCAGTTGAAGCACAAAGCATGGTGTAAACACTGAATACACTCCTGCAGCCCGATGCCCTCCATGTAACCTGGTGGCTAGGTTCACAGAAGCAGAAAGGCTCACCTCCCTGAGCCCGTAAGTCACAGACCCTCTGAGTTCAGCCATCTCATCTTTCCAAATGATTTATTCATCAGTTATGGATTAGAGAATATTCAGCTCAGTTCTGTGTAACACTCACTTGAAAAGACTCTTTAAAAAAAATCTTAAAAAAAAAAATCTTGCTTCTAAGCCTGTTGGACTTCACCCAATGATTCTATCTTGCATAGTGTTACCCTTGGTCTCCCTAGGCTGATCCTAAGTAGGTGAAATAGCTTGAATGTTGAGCCAGGATACTCTCGAAAAACACCTACTCGAAAAACAAATTGCTTAAATTCACTGCTGTTTTACCAAAACTTTTTTCACACTTAGCTATGAGATTCTCTAATTGGGGTATGTACAAACGGACCAAAGGAACTAACTTACAAGAGAAACAGGTTGCTAGGTAAAGTAGTCTTCCTCCAGGTTATAAATCAGGCTAAGCCACAATAAACGAAATACTGGAAAAGGGCAGCTACAGCTACAAATTCAGATAGGAAAACATACCATGAGAGACAGAAGAGGAAGAAACAGCCTCTGCTTGAGGGTTTCGTACAGAAAGGACAGCACATCTCTGTCCCTCCTTCTCCTTTGGCCAGGAGGCCACTCCAGAACAAAAGTAAAAAAGTCTCCTCCTAGGTGGGCCAGGCTTTCACTTTCAGGAAAAAATTTCCCCTGGATTCTTTCACTCACTCTCAAGGTTGTAAGAGATCTTGATCCCATTTTCTGGACAAGCACGTCAACGGGGATTGAGCCTCACCCAGAACTGTCAGTTCTTACCACCCACATGGCTCGATCTGCCTGAAACCCCAGTTCCCATTTTTTCCAACTCCCTCATGTTTCTGAGAGGAACCCGATCAGGGCCCACCGCTGGCATGGAAACGTGAGGCCACTGGAAGAGGATGGATGAAACCATTAATGATGGGTAGAGGGGAGCATCAAAGCTTAGTCTTGAGGTCAGAAGGTGACATACAGCAGACTCTGGAGACTTGGCCTTCTACTTTGGGGAAAGCCTCGGCAGAAAAGGGCTTTTCGGTCATCAGAATATCCAAAGGGTACCCGCCTGTACCCAGGGAGAACCTATCCCCGCACCCCTCTGCCCAGCCCAAGCGCCCACAGAGGCCAAGAAGGAGCTCTACTCCCACTAGGGCATAAATGGGGGTGTCCAAGTCTGTCATCCAGGGGGTCTCAGCCAGCCCGAGAGGCCTCCACCAAGCCTGCCAAGCTCCAAAGGGCTGCCGGTCGCACAGACCAGACCTGTCACCTGGACCTCCCAGAGGTGCTGGGGCGCGGAGGGGGTCCCTTCCCCGCCCGCGCGGAGGGGTGCGCGTTGCCTACCCGGAGCTCGCCCTCGGTGCGGTGTAGTCCCAGGCGCCGAAGTCCCACGGCCAGGTCGTTGACACACAGCCCGCCGTCGCGGTTGACGTCGAGAGTCTGGAAGAGGCTCCAGAGGCGCAGCCTGTGGTCCGGGCCCCCGCAGACGGCGCCGCCGCACGGGTCCACGGACGCCGGCGATGAGGCGGACGACGAGGCGGAGGCGGTGGGGTCTGGCGGCGGGGAAGCCACGCAGCGGCACAACACACTGCTCACCATCGGGCGCGAGGCTAGGGCGACGGGCCGACGGGGAGAGCGCGGACGACACGCCAGGGTCCTCGGTCGACTAGCGCGGGCTCAGCGATGCCGGCAAGCAAGCGGGATGGGCAGCTTCCGGGAGCCCCGCCCCGCGGCGCGCCGTCTGGATGGCCACGCCCCCGGGGGAAGACGTCGACTAATCACAGGCCAGAACAGCCACTGGAGGGGCGGAGCCACCCTGAGGACTGCCCACGCAGCCCTAAACTACCCAGATCAATGGAGAGGGAGGGGCAATCCCGGCTAAACCTGGGGCCGATTCAAACGGAGGGAGGCGGTGATTGGCTGAGTTGGGCCGGCGAGAAGAAATCACGCTGCGATAGGTAGGAGTCCTGTGATTGACAAGCGGAAAGCCCCGTGTCCTACTTCCATTCAGCAACGCTGTTTATCCAGCGGAATCCTAGAAACGCGAGGAGCCGTCGTGTACGGAGAGATCGTCATCTCCAATGGGAAATAGGATTTCTTGAGGAGCGATTGTGATCTGCGGTTGCCAAGGCAAAGTTTGCGCCCTGGGTACAATTAAAAAAAAATTAACTGGTCAACGGCTCAAGGCCGAAAGCACTAGGGATCCTCAAGGAAGCCGGGTTTTGGTAATCTAACTCCCTAAAACCACCAATAAAATAGCTGAATTTAACGGCGTAAAAGTCGTAATCATGATGATTGAACGACAGGACGACTTTCCAATGGGGGTGAGCAAAGACTATGTTGGGTGGGGCGCTCTGTAGCAACAGACACACCTTGAGACCAATGATCAGGCGACTTCCAGTAGGTAGGCGCGCCCTTTAGCTGAGCGACAGGTCGAAAGAACCAGTGATCGATGTGATATCTGAACCGCGACCAACCGGGAGGGCGGGTCTCCCTAGAGAAGCTCTGGAAGGCGGGAAGAGGGGAAGTGGGCGGATCTCCGCACACCCCGGCGGAAGAGGCAGATTCAGGAAGCCATTACGCAGCTGGCTGGCAGCGGCTGGGCAGGTCGGGGCTGGGCCCTACGCACTTTGCGTAGCGAGGGGGGTTACCAAAGGCCTGGTACTTGGCCTTGGACCAGCCCAGCCTATCCCCTGTAGGGGGGTGGGTGAGTAGCGAGGCTAAGGAAGACAGAAGGGGAATTGGGGCAGTTAGGGGATTATAGTTTCTTTAAAAAGCCGGGTGGGGAGAGGCCATGGCCGTCCCCGCCAAGAAAAGGAAGATGAACTTCTCTGAGCGAGAGGTGGAGATCATTGTGGAGGAGCTGGAACTGAAGAAGCACCTGCTGGTGAACCACTTCAACGCCGGGGTCCCTCTGGCTGCCAAGAGTGCGGCGTGGCACGGCATTCTGAGAAGGGTCAACGCCGTGGCCACCTGCCGCCGGGAGCTGCCCGAGGTCAAGAAGAAGTGGTCCGACCTCAAGACCGAGGTCCGTCGCAAGGTTGCCCAGGTCCGGGCGGCCGTGGAGGGTGGCGAGGCCCCAGGGCCCACTGAGGAAGATGGAGCAGGTGGGCCCGGGACAGGCGGTGGCAGTGGCGCCAGTGGCCCCGCTGTAGCCCCTGTACTGCTCACCCCCATGCAACAGCGCATCTGCAACCTGCTGGGCGAGGCCACCATTATCAGCTTGCCCAGTACCGCAGAGATCCACCCCGTGGCCCTTGGACCCACGGCCACTGCAGCCGCCGCCACGGTCACCCTGACACAGAGTGAGTGACCTCTCCCACCCAGTCCAGCGTTCCTAAATGGGAAGGGCCAGAAAGAGCTGGGGCAGCCCAGGGAAGGTTGGCTGCCAAGGGTCAAAGGTCAGATGGGAGTCTTGGACGACCAGGAGGCCTTCCAAGGGCTCCCCAGACAGAAGTGATCTTGTTTTCTCTCTGAGACTTCCTCAGCACGCAGTCTGGACTTCTGAGGGACTGGCTTGCCCTCCACTGTTTTGCCACCATTTGTGTCCATGACTAAACTGTTTGGTCCTTGAAGACAGAGACCATGTTTATACCCCTACAGGACTTTTTCCAGAGCCTGGTGCCTAGTAAGCAGTCAGGAGGTACTTACTGAATGAACAGGCAGATGGACATTGACTCTGGACAAAGACATTCTGGTTTTCACTGTGAACATTCATCAGGCACTGCTGAGGAACCTCCCGGTTCCTGGTGTTAATCGACCCCTCCATTCACTCATCAACCATTAGTGCAATTCTGTGCCAAACCCTGGGCTCAGTGCTGGGATTCCCAAGGTGTCTAAGAGATAGGTTGGTTATATTCTAGGAGGACAGATAAGAGGGACACATATATGAATAACTGCACTATCAGTCAGGATCACCTAAGGACTCAGAAGAGAAAGGGGACTTCCTGGAGGTGGGGGTGGGACACACAATTGATTTCGGCATTAAAGGGAGGGAAGAACTGATCTTTCCGACATGCTTGGAGGCCCAAACAGCCAGCTAGAGTGCCTTCAAAGGTTCTCAAGCTAGGAATGACAAACTAGTTGGTTGGACTTTTTAGTTCAGATAAGTTTTGCACCAATGACTGTTAAGTGGTCTTTGTGATGGGCTGGGAACTGAATCTATCAGTGGTTTCTCAATGGGGCTTGGGAGAATTGGGTGTGTGTGTGTGAGAGTGCCATACCCCAGCAGTGTCATATTTCTCAAGGATATGGAGGTGGGAAAGGGGATCAGACACTGGTCTAAATCAGCTGCTGTTCTGTAAGAGGAAGGACCTTTAGGCATTCCATTGACTAAGGTGATCAAGGAGACAGGAGGCACTTATTGGGCACTTTAACTGCTGCCTTCCCACTCCCACTTCCTTTTCTGCTTGGCCATAAAAGACATGGAAGTCAAGAAAGCACTGAAGGAGCTGGGACCAGTGGGGTTGCAAACTCTCACCCAGGATGCCTGCTGTGTGCTGGTACTTCTGGGAGCATTTGGCCCTGCTTTTATCAGCCAGAAGCAGCCCAGTGGGGTGACTGTGAACACCTTGGTCACTAGTATTGAGGGAGACCTGGGTTTCTTCCTATACCTGCTGAATAAGCTGTATGACCTTAGGCCAGTCGTACCGTGGTGTCTGAGTCTGTCTTATCATCTCTGAAAATGAACGTGACAGTATCTGCCTCTTGGTGTCATTATGAGGGTTCATGAAGCTAAGGAGTACAAAGGGTTAGCACCGTGCCTAGCACATAGTAGGTGCTGGTCTTAACTATTAGCATCTTTGCTTTTGCCAGATCAGGGGCTGACCCTTTGGTTATTAAGTAGATTAAGATTCTGAATCCTTTGGAGTCTAGATTTATACATGCGTGCTGAGTCACTTCAGTTGTGTCCAACTCTGTGTGACCCATAGACTGTAGCCCGCCAGGCTTCCCTGTCCATGGGATTCTCCAGGCAAGAATACTTACTGCGGTGAGCTGCCATGCCCTTCTCCAGGGGCTCTTCCTGACCCAGGGATTGAACCTGCATCTCTTACACCTCCTTCATTGACAGGCAGGTTCTTTACCACTAGTGCCACCCAGGAAGCCCCAGATGTATAAATAAAAGGCTATAAAGTCAGGGGAGGCTGAATTCTCCAGAACAAGGCTTAATGGCCTACCCCCTACCCCATACGGCCAGCCTCACTCTTTCTAGAAAGTGACCTGCCACCGATTTGCTCTTTCTTCCCCACAGTCCCCACAGAGACCACCTATCACACGCTGGAGGAGGGAGTGGTAGAGTACTGCACAGCTGAGGCCCCCCCACCCCTGCCGGCCGAGGCCCCTGTGGAGATGATGGCCCAGCATGCTGACACCTCGGTCAAGCCACAGGCACTCAAGAGCCGCATAGCCCTCAACTCAGCCAAGCTGATCCAGGAGCAGCGGGTCACCAACCTGCACGTGAAGGAGATCGCCCAGCACCTGGAGCAGCAGAACGACCTGCTACAGATGATCCGTCGCTCCCAGGAGGTGCAAGCCTGTGCCCAGGAGCGCCAGGCTCAGGCCATGGAGGGCACCCAGGCGGCCCTGAGCGTCCTCATCCAGGTCCTACGGCCCATGATCAAAGATTTCCGCCGCTACCTTCAGAGCAACATGCCCAACCCCGCCACCACCTCTGACCCTGGACAGGTGGCCCAGAATGGACAGCCAGACAGCATCATCCAATGAGAGCAGGGGTCAGGCCAGCCTTCTGCTGTGAATGGATGACACCACGGAGGTCTTGTAAGTGGCTTGTGTGGTTGGCTTTAGGCTAGGCCCGGCCACATGAACGGCTCCCAGTTTGACAGACTTTTAGGGGTCTGCTGTTTCTGGGAGGTGAAGGAGACTGGGAAGAAGAATTTGTTGGGCTTCTGGGACCCAAAACTCTTGTTACCCACCCCACCCCTTGAGCTGTCCTGCTGAGAACCTGAAGACTGGATGGGCAGGGGCCAGGCGCTGGTGATGGGACCCATGTTGTCATGAGCAAGGGCTTGTGACTTGACCCAGACTCGGACTAGGACCACCATAAGGAGGGCTCTCACTGCAGGGGGGCGTTTCACAGCTGGGGGCCTGCGCTGAAATCCTGCCCCCACCCAGGTGCCATCCTTTAGAGTAAAATAACGTCAGTGGTGCTGGCAGTAGCACAATAACATCTTCTTCCTCCCTTGGGAGGCAGAGTGACCCGGTGGGCTTGAGGAGGAAACCCCCGCCCTTTTCTCCTTCTCACTGTGTCTCAGTTCTCAGGGGACTCTGGTTGGGGCTGTGCTCTCCCCCCTCTCCCCCCACCGCACCCAGGCACACCCTGTTAGTGCTCTGGACTGCCCCTGCAGTATACCAGGCTGCAGCCGGCCAGGCTCAGGGATGCTGTGTGTGGTGGGGACCAGCCTGACCTCCATCTGGTCTTCCACTGCGTTCCCCGGGCAGCCCTCTTGTGGCTTGTCCCGACAGCTTTTGACTCAGGTCAAGCATCAGGCTTTGGGTGCTGTAAATGTTACTCGTTGCCCCCACTTGCAGTGTTTCTAAGGCCCCGGCTTCTTCCAGACGGCTTTGCTGCAAGCCAGTGGTATTTATTGTACAGGAACCCCTCTGGGAAGGCCTCCGAGGGCAGCTCTGGCCACGCCCTTCCTCCTTCCCCCTCTACTGATCGCGCAGTTCCAAAACTCGGTGCAGAAAACAGCCTCCATCGCATCACGCCCTGGACTGCCTTCTCACAGTTCTCGGCGTCTCGTGTTCTCGCGAGAGCCTCACTGACTGGTTGGGTGAATCCGAAGGCCTCACTGGCCATGAGCGTCTGCGGTGAGAGAACTGAAACTGACCCAAGAAGTGGGACCTCGGAAGTCTATGCTCGAAGGAGAGCCAACCGACCTCGGTCGGAGTGCCGGAGGAGGTGGTATTCCCTGTTCTGTTTTGACGCTTTCTCCCCGTTTGTAAGGACTTTACCCAGCTGGCATCTGTCTTGTTTCATTTACAGAATCGCCATCAGTTACTGAGACCCTTGCACCTTCCCCGGTCCTCTCCCAAGTTTGCCATTTTGCTGCCGAGGAGTCCTTGGCCACACGTTGACCGTTGGTTGCAACTCAAGGCTCCAGATCTCAGCTAAACAAAGAAGGTGCTGCCCTTCTGGTGTACGTCTAGAATCGCCCAGCTCCACTGTGGCAGTTATGGGAAGATGCCCCCGAGGACGGTTGGGAGGTGACTCTTAGCATCATCCTCACTATGGGGGGTGAGGGTGGTGCCAGCTACAGAGTGAAGGAAAACTTCTCGGTGACTGAAAAGCAACAGCCTCCGGCCACCTGGGCGCCCTCCCTTCATGGAGCCTGATGGCCCCTGAATTTAGGAAGTTGGGGAAATTCCTGAGGGGTTTGCAGCTTGGTTTCGTTTTTCTCTGGGGTTGGCAATCTGAGCCAATATTGTGTCTGTTCCAATTGGGTATAAAGAGGAAGCTTAGAGTGACTGGGTCTTTCCAGGTCATAATTTTAAATTAAAGAAATATCACTTTTCAAAAAAAAATTACACAAATCTGTGTCTTCATTGGTTATATGTAGAGGAGATAGGGGCTGGCAGAGAGCAGGGGCTCATGGGTCAAATCTGGCCCCCCCACATGCCTTTGTAAATCAAGTTTTACTGAACACAGCCACATCCCATCATTTCCTTAATGTCTGGCTGTTTTTCTGCTACAACAGCAGAGTTGAGTGGTTGTGACAGATATCTGACCCACAGGCCAAAGATATTTACTCTCTGGCTCTTTCCAGAAAAGCCTGCCTGCGTATCCCTGGTTTAGGGCAGTGTCTCAGACTCTGGATGAAAGTTCCTTGGGAGTGTTTTTTTTTTTTTTTTCAGCCTCCCATCCCTCACTGCCGTGGCATCTCCTTCCCTCCTCTCTGAACTGGGAATTCCCCTTGCCAGAAGTTAGGGACCAGGTCCTCTAATTAGAGTCCCCCCACCCTTCCCCCCATCTTTGATTTTTAGAGGTCTCCTGAAACTGATGAATGGTTGGTTTGGAGGGGATTCCTATAACCTCAGGCACCTTCTCTCTACCCTCATTTACCCTAATTGTAAAAATTTGTTTTAGGTTAAAAGGCAGAGGAAGCAGTAAATACATGTGACTACATCACCAGCCTCTAGAAGTTCTTGCCCCTTAGAAAGCGCTCAGTAAATATTAGAACAAATGACTGAACACTGGAAGGTGGTGGAAGCTTAAAAGATACGGGTGCGGGGTGGGAAACAAAAAACAAGCAAAAAGATATACAGGGAAAATGAAAAAAAGAATCAGCACTTACTGAGTACCCACTGTGTACCATGCTTCCCTGGTGGCTCAGTGGTAAAGAATCCACCTACCAATGCAGGAGATTCGGGTTTGATCCCTGGGTTTAGAAGATCCCTGGAGAAGGAAATGGCAACCCACTCCAATATTCTTGCTTGGAGAAGTCCATGGATAGAGGAGCCTGGTGGGCTCCAGCCCATGAGGTCACAAGAGTCAGACCCAACTTAAGAACTCGGGAGTGTTTGTTGAATATAACCAATCCCTGGCCCCACGTCAAACCTAGACGAGACTCCTGGAGGGAGAGCTCTAAGAATATGCATTATAAACAAGTTCTTTGGGTATTCTCATAGTTTCTGAAGAACTGTGGCTCATACATAGACTGGAAGAATTCAGTCTATGATTTCCAAATTCAGCTGGAATCAAGATAGGAAGGACTGGTTCTCAGGAGTTTCTGTGGAATAGTTGAGAAGTCCTGCTAAGCAGTAATTCTCACTTGAGAGTGGCCCTTATTCTGGAGGGAGCTCAGCCTTTCTGGGCACAGTTAACACTCTAGTATTTAGTGAGAATAAAAACTGACAAGTTATCGAGCCCAGGTCTTGTAAGCATTACTTTATAAACTTCTTGCAACAGCCCCATGAACTAGGTAGTAATGCTGTTTTCAGTTTACAGATGAGGCCACTGAGTATCAGAGAGGTTAAACAATTTGCCTAAAACCCCACAGCTGCCTTATACCCTGGGGTAGCGTATAATCTTTAACTGCTGTTATTTAACTTTTACTACTCTGATCTGGCTGCCAGTGAGATGTGAAATCACTTAGAGATGACTTGAGCCTGATCTTGAGTTTTTAGGTCAGGTGAGAGGCCCAGGAGGCAACTTGTGTTGTTCTTCCTGGCACTTGAAACACAGTGACTTCTATTCTTTGTAGTCTTTGGACTTATTCTTGTAATAGGAAAAAGGGTGGTTTTAACAGAATTAAATCCACTGTACCTTGGGACTCCCCTGGTGGTCCAGTGGTTTAAGACTCCACGTTCCCAGTGCAGGGGGCCTGGGTTTGCTCCCTGGCGGGGGAACTAAGATCCTGCATTTTACGTGGCATGGCCTAAAAATGAAATAAATAAACCCACTGCACCTTGATGGTGCTGGTGAAGAATGGTCACATATATGAGGGTGATTCATTTGGAATCCTTCCCCGAAATGTGGAGTTTTGTGTAAGTGACATCTTCCAAGCCACTGAAGCTTACTACTTCAAGTATTGAAACTTTTAATTTTTTTTCTTTTTTTGACTCTGCCACATGCCAGATCTTAGTTCCCCATCCAGGGACTGAACCCACACTCTCTGCCATGCAAGCTGGAAGTCTTAACCACTGAAGCACAAGGAAGTCCCAAAACCTTTTACATTTTAAATCATTCTGATAGAAGTCTCTCATAAAGATTCCCTTTGTGAGCTATATCTTACCCAGATGTTTCCTGTTCAATAGAAATTGCACAGCAGATCGGAGAGGCAGTGCTTCCATGTTGAAAGTCCCTGGAACGAGGCAGGTTTGGGCTTGAGATCAACTCCACCTCTTATTCACTGGGTCTCTGAAGTTTTCTGAGCCCCAGTCTTCTCCGTTCTAAAATGATTATGATGAATAATAATCCCTACTTGACCAGGGTGTTACCAGGTGTTGTACACTTATTGAGCACTGACCATATCTAGACCCTGTTCTAAGCACTGTGTGTATAACTCATTTCATGAGATCGTGTATGTAAAACACCTGGCGTGTGCCTGGGACGGACATAGCATGTGCCAGTAATTACTGGCTGCTGCCATTATTAGTATTACCAGTCTGATATTCCAGAAAGCTAACTCGTGCATCTTTTCTTGCGATCACAATGGGAGCTTGATGGCTTGATGGATTTCCAGGGCTTCCCAGGTGGCTCAGTGGTAAGGAGTCTGCCTGCCAATGCAGGAGATGTGGGTTCCATCTCTGGGTCAGGAAGATCCCCCCCAGAGGAGGGCACGGCAACCCACTCCAGTATTCTACTCCTGGAGTATTTTACTCCTGTAAAATCCCATGGACAGAAGAGCCTAGTGAGCTACAGTCCATAGGGTTGCAAAGAGTCAGACATGACTGACTGACTGAGCACAACTCAAGGACTTCCAGACAGTCCAGTGGTCAAGACTGTGCCTTCAAAAGACGCTGACGCTGGGAAAGATTGAAGGTAGGAGGAGAAGGGGGTGACAGAGGATGAGATGGTTGAATGGCATCTCATCAACTCGATGGACATGAGTTTGAGCAAGCTCCGGGAGATGGTGAAGGACAGAGAAGCCTGGCGTGCTGCAGTCCATGGGATGGCAAAGAGTCTGACATGACTTAGCTACTGAATTGAGGTTTATCCTAGTTGGGGAGCTAAGATCCCATGTTCCTCACAGCTAAAACATAAAACAAAAGCAATACTGTAACATATTCAGTAAACATTTCAAAAAATTATCTACATCAAAAAAGTAAAAAAAAAAAAAAAGGTGGCTTGAGTCAGATCAGAAAAGATGTACAAGGAGCGAAAAGTAGGAAGGATTGAAGGGAGAGTGGGGGATGGGAACCAAGGCCAGGATGGGGAAGAGCTGCACATGTTTCTGGAAAAGGAGGGTTGATTGAGTTGTCAAGTGCTGAGATGTGGGAATCCCCTGTGGTTAGGACTCTGTGCTTTCACAGTCGAGGACCCAGGTTCAGTCCCTGGTTGGAGAACTAAGATCCAACAAGTCATACAGTGCAGCCAAAAAAAACCAAACCCAAAACACACAAAAAAGGGCTGAGAGGCCGTGAGTCACAGTAGACAACCAGCCCAAAGGAGAGGAACAGACTAGGCTTTGATCACTGGCTGTGATGACATAAGCAAGAAGGGAAAGCAGCAGCTCTTTCAGGGTCACATTTTCCCCACAGCACAGGGCCGGGCAGGGTCAGCTGAGTTGCAGGTGGGAATCATTTCACTGTTGGGAGAAGCCCCTGCTTCATGGACTTGGGTGTGTGTTAGGGGAACAAGAGCAGGAAAGCCAGGAATTCGAAAGTGCTGAGTCTCCCCACTACTCCTGATAAGAAGGAGATGCTTAGCAGAAGCGTCTGAGGCCTCCAAATTGAGGCATCTAGGCTAGGAATGCAACTTTGCCGAAGAGCATGTAAGGCCTGCCATATAAAGCTTTCCAAATGGCCTATAGTTGTGCCTGGAAGATCACACGTTGGTTTGTGGCCAGGAGCTGGACTCCTCATAAGTTTGTCTCAGGTCTTTGGAGTCAGCCTTCCTCTTACTGGCTGTGTGCCCTGGCATGAGGTCATTTACTTTCTCCAAGCCTTGGCTTCCTCATCTAAAATCCTCGGGACTTCCCTGGTGATACAGTGGTTAGGACTCCATGCTTCCAATGCAGGGGCTCAGGGTTCCATTCCTGGGTGGGGAGCTAAGATCCCATGCACTGGGGGTGGGAGGCAGGTTCAAGAGGGACGGGATATGTGTCTACATGTAGCTGATTCACTTTGTTGTATGGCAGAAACTAACACAACATTGTAAAGCAATTATACTCCAATAAAAAAGTTAATTTAAAAAGCTCCCAGGTAAAAGAAAAAAACCTGAGTTTCCAAAAACTTAGAAAAAAGTTCTCATTCTTGTGTATTTGAATCTGTGAAATGAAATTTTGTATCAATGGCAATTATATAAAGGTATGTGAATATTTGGGTATTAATCATGTTATATATATTGTAATATATCCAATTAATAAATGTAAGCTATCAAAATAAAAGATCCCACATGCCTCATGGTACAGCCAAAAAAAAATCCTCTCTAATAAGATTGGTATCAAAAGTTAACAAGCTAATGCTCATATTTAACTTCTATGCAGAGTACATCATGCAAAATGCCGGGCTAGATGAAGCACAAGCTGGAATCAAGATTGCTGGGAGAAATATCAATAACCTCAGATATGCAGACGACACTGAAATCAACCCTGAATATTCATTGGAAGGACTGATGCTGAAGCTGAAACTCCAATACTTTGTCCACCTGATGCGAAGAACTGACTCACTGGAAAAGACCCTGCTGCTGGGAAAGATTGAAGCAGGAGCAGAAGAGGATGACAGAGGAAGGATGGCATCACCGACTCGATGGACATGAGTTTGAGCAAGCTCCAGGAGTTGGTGATGTACAGGGAAGCCTGGTGTGCTGCAGTCCATGGGGTTGCAAAGAGTCGGACACGACTGAGCAA